ATGTTCGGCGAGTTCCCTCAAAACTTTTTGCTAGCCACTTTGGCTCAAACTATAAATAAAAAATAAAAAAACACGACTAACCATCTTTCATTTGATAGCCAAATGAATCGAATCCTAATCAATAAAATTTCCAGCGACATTTCCCTCCATTGCTTTAGAACTTTTGATGCAAAAGGAAATATAACATAATTAGGACCCATATTATGTTAAATTAGATAATGTGAGTGAGGAATGATGATACTAATAAAAAAGAAGAACTTACATGAAACGTGTTTATTATTACTTTGACATTCTAATTCAATAATATAAGGTCATTTGTAAATTTTTTTTCACATAGCGATGCATTATTAAATTGAATGTCTCATGATAATAAATTCATTTCATACAATTGCTTTCCTAAAACAAGCATAATTAGAAACAATTAAAAGGTCAAACCGTGCTTTCCAAAGTGGGGTTTGGAAATGATAACAGATGAGATTTAAAATAACCGAGCATTTACAGGGTAATTACGAATTAGGATAAATTATGTTTTGCACTATTAAGTTTGAATGTAATAGCAATTTTATATATTATTTTTAAAACGTTGAAATTTCATACCTAAATTTGTGTTTTAGTTTGAATTTCTTACATTTGTTAGTTAGTTCATAAATTTGATTGTTGAATGATGATGTGGAAGCTACATGTGTCAATATTTTATTAATAGAAAACTTCATTTTAATCCTTAAAAAAGATGAGTTTTAGACTATAACCTTGTTTAATATTAAAATCCAATTTTAGTCCCCCAAGACATTTAATCATCTCATTTATTAGTTATATTTTAATGTTTTATTTATCTTTTTATGTATTAATTACATTTAAATTTAATTTTTATTTCATTCATCATAATATGTTTTCATGTCTACATTTAGGCAACTAATTTTTTTTATAATATATATTCCGATAACAATTTTGTATGTTCTTTACGTAGGTATATTAATACATTTGAATACTTCGGTATATTCATCGATACAAACATATAGGTACATTAATTCATATAATGCATTTCGGCACATACATTTTGGCACACACTTTTGAGTATTGACTTTTATGTACATTAATTCAATATATTATATTTCGGTACATACATTTCGGTACGTACATTTTGGTACGTACATTTTGGTACATACATTTTGGTACGTACATTTTGGTAGATTAATTCAATATAATACATTTCAGTACATACATTTAGGTTCATTCTAATATTTTTCAATACAATCATGTAGGTACAAATATTTAGGTGCAAAAAAAGTCAATTTTATATATTTCAACATAGTCATTTATACACTTGTGTATTTATATATTTTTGTATCACAAATTTCTTTTAATATTTTTCTCATTTATGTTCATTTATAATTAAAGAACTAAATATGCGCATATTAATAAAATTAAAATTTAATGTGGAGAGATTAATTAAAATACACATTAAATAACACAAAATTGAATATAAATTTTGATAATAGTACACCTCAATAGATTAAATTGAATATGTAATCTAGCACCGAGTTTTTTTAAAATTTTAATCTTTTGCAAGACTTAATGTTCAAAAACCCCATTTACTAATGTGAAAACTATGTATGAAATTATAATTAAAATATAAGTTTGTATATGACATTCTAATATTTAAAAAAATAATATATAAGATTGTAATTACGCTCCTTAAGGGGCAAAAGTAGTGCCCTACTAATTAACAACACTTATTTCTGTAAGATTTAGAGTGCACTAACTGCAACAAGCTGCAAGACCTAGGAGCTTGCCTTCATCAGTCGTAGTCCTTCATGTTGTCCCATCTTCTTTTGGACGGCTTTGTCACTATGACACGTTACTTGATACATCATTTATCCCATATGACATAACAGACCATGCATCTGAGTTCCCTCTCCACTCCCACTCTCCCTTCGAGAGATTGTCTTTTACCAAAAGGTACTTTTGTAGCCCATTTCCATACGGAAGGGCCATTGAATTGTCATTGGAAATATGCCTAAAATTAAAAATAAATAATGTTTTTCACACACAAATTCTTACCTTATACACATTCTTCTATTTTGGTAATTGTAAGCTTGAACAATTAAAATAAATTGACAATTAAAATTAATAAGAAGTGTGTAAAGCGTGAAAAAATAGTGTATTGAATTACGCTTTGAAATAATATATTAATCTACACACACACTTAGATGTGAATAAACACACAAATTTAAGTTGTTGAAACTTGAGAGTTTTATGTAGACATATTTAGTATCGCTTTCAACATTACATAACATATGTTACGTGATGAGAGATATATTAATGTTTTCTTTCATTATACACAAGAATTCTTCAATTTTCTTTTGGACAAAATCAAGAATTCTTCATTAGGAAAACATAAATTGTGAGAGTAATGGTTTCGAAATTATGCTAAGTCAAAAATTGAATTTCTTCAGTTACTACAAAGAACGGCTAGAATTAAGATATTAAGCTAATAGATTATCAATTTGGTCTCTTAATACCATCTTAGTTTGTTATAAAAAAAAATTAACGGATTAAAAATTTCAGAATATTCGATACTCCGGGACACTATAATTCTGCTTGTCATATATGTAATATCCCACATCACCCAGGGGAGTGATCCTTAAATGCATATTCTCATCCCTACCTAGCACGAGACCTTTTGGGAGCTCACTGGCTTCGGGTTTCGTAGGAACTCCGAAGTTAAGCGAGAAGGGGGCTAGAGCAATCCCATGATGGGTGACCCACTGGGAAGTTGCTCGTGAGTTCCCAAAAACAAAACCGTGAGGGAATGGTAAGCCCAAAGAGGACAATATCGTGCTACGGTGGTGGAACGGGGTCGGGAAGTGATTCGTCCCGGGCTGGGATATGACAATTTGGTATCAGAGCCTAACCCTGGCCATGGTGTGCCGACGAGGGCATCGGGCCCCTAAGGGGGGTGGATTGTAATATCCCACATCATCCAGGGGAGTGATCCTTAAATGTATATTCCCATCCCTACCTAGCACGAGGCCTTGTGGGAGCTCACTGGCTTCGGGTTTCGTAGGAACTCCGAAGTTAAGCGAGAAGGGGCTAGAGCAATCCCATGATGGGTGACCCACTGGGAAGTTGCTCGTGAGTTCCCAAAAACAAAACCGTGAGGGAATGGTAAGCCCAAAGCGGACAATATCGTGCTACGGTGGTGGAGCGAGCCCGGGAAGTGATCCACCCCGGACGGGGATGTGACAATATACTTGATGAAAATCGGTGACGTAAAATTCATGCTATCTCAAAGAACATCAACTTAACTAGATTGTTGCTACCCAAAAATTAAAAAAAAAAAGATGATTAGGTCTTGAACCCTACTTAATTTCAGAAGAAAAACATTCCCTAAAATGCTGCTTAATCATCCTTTTATGTCCATTGCGACCATTTGATTAGTGTAGGGTCATCTTGATCCCATAATTTCTGCAGAAAAACACTCCCTAAATGCTTCTTAATCACCCTAATCATCTTGTTTAGACCAAATTAGTTTGGAGGTTTCTAAAGAGAGTGGGAAAATTTAGTGATGGATCGACCATTGGGTACGGTCAAAAGTTGAAACTCATAGATATTGAAACGTCTATTTGAAGTGATACACATCATGTGAAACATATATAACCCACATTGAAGGAATCCTAGGTTTACTTGTGTGGGTTATTCTTGGACATGTTTCCTTCTAAAATCAACATATTACATTATTTTTATTTTCTGGTTAAGTGATTTCCGTATTTTCTTTCTTTATTTTGTTTGTTGGATTTTCTCTAAAATATTCAATAAAATAGCTTTTGAAAAGCAAAGAGCGATGAGATGAAAATAGAAGTGCAAAAATCACACTCTGATTTTTTTTTTTTCCTTCTTTCTAAAAGGGGACAATTAGTGGTAAGCTACGGTTATATACCCCTTTTGGGTCTAGAGAGACTATGGAAAATTCTATCATGCTCTTGACCACACTCAAACAAACTCATTAGCTCAGAACATCGAACTCAAGACCTTCCACATTTATTTTATTTTATTGAAGAGCCCAGTCCGCTCCCCTACTCTGGCAGTTACAACTATTTATTTTGCAATTTTTCTGACCGAATTGACCACAATTTTGTATGTCATTTTTCTTTTAACAATTGAAAAGTGTTTAGAATGCAATCGCATGAAATTAATAGCCGAAAGGAAACTGTACAAAAGAGTCAAGACAATGAGTGATGCCTGCCACTGCCAAGTGTAGTAGTAAGATGTTTTCTCAAACTAAAGTTCGAAAGTTTAGTGTGTTCTCAAAAGCACAGGTACCGACCTGAATTTATGTATTTGGCTAACAAAGAATATGGTCGGGCAGTTGGCCCTACATGCTTTGAGTACTGAATTAAGTTAATTAATCATTCTAAATACACATGCTGCTCCGTCAGATAAACACATATAATCTCCTTTTCCTATCATATACAACACATATAAGACCAATTTGACTTATGCTTGGTTATAAATTGATGCTTTGACAAAAACGAAATTATAAATTGATGCACCTTTAGGTTAATATATAGTATTAGAGATTTTGCTAGACTGTTATATGTTTTTACACATTTTATAATCAAAAGATAAATAAAAAATGGATACAAATTATGTAGAAAAACAAAACATGTGAGTGCACATAGTAGTATTTTTTTCTGTAACCAAAATTTCTTATTTACAAAAAGAAAAAAACAAGAGTCTAATTCTAGCTCGTAATATTTTTCAATTGAAAATAATAATCCTCACTTTAATATGCATAATATTTAGAAGATATTAATCTTCTTCATATTAATAATTTAATATGCTACAAGGCGTGTATATGTATATGTGTATATATATGTATGACTATATGTATGTATATAAGTTCTTCATTAATATGGTATGGTATGGTATGGTACGCCATGTCATGCGCAGTAGGGGCCAGGTAAGCCTTATGCAGGCAGTTCATTCACTCATCACTGCCCATTTCTCGTGAAAGCCTACGTGACAAAGAATTTCATCCCTCTCTCTTCCTTCCTTCCCTATTCCTCTACTCCCTTCAGTTCAGAGTCTCAGACACACAAACCCCTCTCTCTCTCTCTCTCTCTCTCTCTCTACTCTCTACTCTCTACTCTTTCTCCCATTTTCTTGTTTGGTTGTGCAATCATGGCTTCTCTTTCTGCAAGTAAAATGATATGATATGGGCATTTTCCATGTACAAAATCACAACCCATGTTCCATATATAATTCAATCATCTTCATACCTCTGTTGTTTGCTTCCTCTTGTTTTTCTCTCTGCACTCTACTGTAGCAGTAGCTCTTCCTTTCATTTGGGTATTCAATCAGTTCCAACCCTGAAAAAAAAAACCCCTTGATTGGTGTGCTTTTCTTTTTACTTGTTCCTCTTAAACTTGAGGGATACCCCTACAAATTAAGGGATTGGGTTTGCTCTCTGATGCAATGCTGAAATGGGTTTTCTCAAAAAAGTTGACAGCTGATTTGGGGTCATGGTTTTTCATGCGAGTACCTTCAATGGTGGGTTTGATTCTCTGAGCAAGAAGAAAAACTGACATTTGGTTGCAAGTTCAGAAGCTGAATACTAAATCATTGAAGAAAAAAAAAGTTGGGTTTTGGAGGTTGAAGGGTTTTATGTATGCCCTTGTCACTGTTTTGGAGTTTGGAGAAGAAAGTTGAGTTCTTTTCCACAGGGAAGTGTTCCAGACAACCCAAATATGGTGGTTTTGTGCTTGTTCTGTGTTCTTCTTGTTGGGTTTCTATCCGAGTCCCATCTTGTGGCTGCTCAGCTTTATGATCAAGCTACATTGCTCGCCATTACCGAAGAGCTCGGAGTACTCGGATGGGGTGGCAACAGCTCAGATTACTGCTCTTGGCCTGGCGTTGGATGCGGTTTGAACCATTCTATGGTCGAAAAGCTTGATCTTTCGCACCACAGCCTCCGAGGTAATGTGACTCTTGTTTCTGAGCTCAAAGCTCTGAAGAGGCTTGACCTCTCTTACAATGATTTCCATGGATCAATTCCTTCAGCTTTTGGAAATTTGTCACAGCTTGAATTTCTTGATTTGTCTTTGAATAAGTTCGGAGGTTCAATTCCGCCGGAGCTGGGTAAACTCAGAAACCTTAGATCATTGAACCTCTCCAATAACTTTCTTGTAGGAAAAATACCCGATGAAATTCAGGGCCTAGAAAAGTTGGAGAATTTTCAAATTTCAAGTAATAAGTTGAGTGGTGTTATCCCTATGTGGGTGGGGAATTTCACCAACTTGAGAGTTTTTACTGCCTATGAGAATGCATTGGAGGGTAAAATCCCAGATAATCTAGGGTTGCTTTCTGAGCTCGAATCATTGAATCTGCATTCTAACCAGCTAGAAGGCCCAATTCCCAAAAGCATTTTTGCTTCAGGGAAGCTGGAGTTTTTGGTTCTGACCCAGAACAGACTAGGTGGAGATATTCCTGAAGAAATTGGAAACTGCAGTAGCCTTTCGAGTATTCGAATTGGTAACAATGATCTTGTAGGTAGCATTCCTCATGCAATTGGGAATGTTAGTAGCCTTACATACTTTGAGGCTGACAATAACAATCTTTCTGGTGAGATTGCTCCAGAGTTTTCTAAGTGTTCTAATCTCACCCTCTTAAATTTAGCCTCAAATGGATTTACCGGGAGAATTCCTCCGGAGCTTGGCCAGCTCGTGAATCTGCAGGAATTAATTCTCTCCGACAACAGTCTGTTTGGAGATATTCCAAAATCAATTCTCGATTGCAAGAATCTTAACAAGCTTGATCTGACCAATAATAGAATCAATGGTACCATACCAAGTGATATCTGCAACATGTCGAGATTGCAATACTTGCTGTTGGGTCAGAATTCGATACGGGGTGAAATACCTCATGAGATTGGAAACTGTGTTAAACTGCTTGAGTTGCAGATGGGAAGAAACTATTTCACTGGCAGTATCCCTCCGGAAATTGGTCATATCAAAAACTTGCAGATTGCCTTAAACTTAAGCTTCAATCATCTCCATGGACCTATTCCTGCAGATTTAGGGAAACTTGATAAGCTGGTTTCTCTTGATGTCTCCAACAATCAGCTGTCTGATGTCATTCCAACTGCACTCAAGGGCATGTTAAGCTTGATAGAGGTTAATTTCTCAAACAATCTGTTCACTGGCCCGATACCAACATTTGTGCCATTCCAGAAGAGTCCGAATGCAAGTTTTCTTGGGAATAAAGGGCTTTGTGGAGAACCACTGAGCTCCTTATGTGCAAATTCTAATGGTAGTGACCGTGCAAGTTACCATCACAGGGTTTCTTACAGGATTGTACTGGCAGTTATCGGTTCTGGTTTGGCAGTTTTTATATCGGTAACCATTGTTGTCCTGCTGTTTATGATCAGAGAGAGACAGGAGAAGGCAGAAAAAGCTGCGGGGACTGAAGACGAGGTGGCCAACAACCTACCGGAGATAGCAGCTGGCAATGTCTTTGTTGAGAATCTCAAACAAGCAATAGATCTTGATTGTGCTGTTAAAGCAACCATGAAGGATTCAAACAAGATCAGTACCGGGACTTTTAGCACAGTTTACAAGGCTGTTATGCCGTCGGGGCTGATTATATCAGTGAAGAGACTGAAATCTATGGACAGGACAATCATTCATCATCAGAACAAGATGATTCGAGAGCTCGAAAGGTTGAGCAAACTCTGTCATGACAACCTAGTGCGTCCTATCGGATTTGTTATTTACGAGGATGTTGCTCTTTTGCTGCATCATTACTTGCCCTATGGGACATTATCTCAGCTTCTTCATGAATCCACCAAGCTGCCCGAATATGAACCTGACTGGCCCAAAAGACTCTCTATTGCCATTGGAGTAGCAGAAGGATTGGCTTTCCTTCATCATGTGGCGATTATCCACCTGGATATTTCTACTGGTAATGTTCTTTTGGATGCTAACTTCAAGCCTTTGGTTGGAGAGATTGAGATCTCGAAGCTCTTGGATCCAACCAGAGGCACAGCCAGTATCAGTGCAGTTGCAGGCTCCTTTGGCTACATTCCTCCGGGTATATTTTTTGATACAGTTCATTCTTCATTCCTTTACTTGGTAGTTTTATTAGTGTTCTAATCTAGCTTAGTGTTTTTCCTCTCTTCTGTCATCAGAATATGCATATACAATGCAAGTTACAGCGCCCGGGAACGTCTATAGCTACGGTGTTGTTTTGCTTGAGATCCTTACAACCAAATTACCAGTAGATGAAGCCTTTGATGAGGGGGTAGATTTGGTGAAGTGGGTGCATAATGCTCCGGCAAGAGGCGAAACCCCAGAGCAGATTCTCGATGCAAGGCTGAGCACAGTGTCCTTCGGTTGGAGGAAAGAAATGCTTGCAGCACTGAAGATTGCATTGCTCTGCACTGACAGCATACCCGCCAAACGTCCGAAAATGAAGAAGGTTGTGGAAATGCTGCAAGAAATAAAGAAACACTGATGGATAGTGAGTCATTGAGTCTTCTATGCCCTGAACCCATCAATCAGATCATCCATATTCTTGCTCGGTGTCCGAGAAATGAAGCGAAAAGGCGGTAGTAATCGATTTGAGTTGAAACTGGAAGAGGGGGTGGATGAATGCAGGGAAAGTCCTCCCATTGGAAAGGATTGGTCTAAGTTTCTGTTACATATTAGATCCAAATCATAATGCTGTAGTTCTTGGTTTTTGAGATTTAAATGTGAAGGTGCATGTCTATGGCTTCTTTAATCAAGTTCACACCTTTTTGCAAGGAAAATTGAGGGTGTAGTCAATTTGAATTTCAAAGGATTTTAAAAGGCTTTTTTAAGTAGCAGATTTCAAATGATTTTAATAGATTTTACAATTCTATATGGATTTTGACAGATTTGTGCGGATTTTCATTATAGATTTGTATGGACTTTTTTCATGGATTTTTTTAGGATATCTTAGGATTTCAAAAGATTAACCTACAATGTTTGTACCTGAAACTCTTGCCAACTGTTGTTGCAGTCACCTTCTTTGTCTCTCCACATATCCACAGTAATAAATGAAAACTAATGAAAAGAGCTTGAAAACTTAGGGTTTTAATGATAAGGACAAAATAAAAGGTAAAATGAATAGTATCAGAATTAATTTTTTAGTGTAAAAATATGAATTTTTGTTAAAATAAATAATACGGTGAACTTTTCGTTAAAATTTCCTAGTAATAATCCTGGCCTTCATATAATAGTTGGAGACTAGTTTTCTAAAACACGTCCTATTGTACAGGTCTCCATACATTTTGTTACATGAACTTGGAGCAATTTGCACACATTTGCATAGCCTGTTTCTTTATTTGGGGTTCAAGTAATCCATTATTTGGGGTTAATTTGTCTTATTTTACTATAATTCGCTGCTCTATACAAATCAAAATTACCAAATCACAGTACCAAATCAAAATTATCTATTAAGAAATAAGAATCTAATTCTCTAACAGGAAAATGGGTAACTTCCAAAAGAGCCAAATTCACCTTAGCAGCCAAGCGAAACTCCAAATTCCACCGGTTAGTTATTAAATCCATCAAAATCTTCGTTCGTTAAAATCCTAGCAAATCTTTGATATTCTCACTACTTAGATTTGGTGGACTTTTTAAAAATGTAATTGACTATCCATGGATTTGATTGTATTCTTTAAAATCCTCTTAAATCCTAATTTAACCACACCATGATTTCAAACTCCTTTAAAATCCTCTTTCAAAATCTTAATTGACTATATCCTGATTTTAAAATCTATTAAAATCCCATCAAATCCTAATTTGATTACACCCTCCTAATCCAGATGTGATTCAATTAGTAAATTGTGAATGCATCAGATCCAAGCTCTGGTATGTGGGAGTTCTTCATCCACTTAAGCTTGTTGAGGGCATCGAGGCCATCTGTTTCTAGTTTAAGGGATAAATAATCGGAAATTGACAGCAATGAGGATTTTACAAGCCGTAATCACTCAAGGGCTAGTTTGGTACTGCTGATTTTTTTTAAAAGCAACTTTTTTTTTTTGAAGAGTTCAGGGGCTAAAATTGTGCTTGGTCAAAATAAAAAAATAAAAATAAAAACCTTTTCTCAAAATTATGGGTCAAAAGCAACAGAAGAAAAAGCAACTCTTACCTTTTTTTTTTTCACATCACAGCAACCCCAAATTAGCATGACATATTGAGGTTTTTCAGATGTTTTCCGATGACCATCCACCAAAAAGGAACCCTGGGTTCGAACTTCGAACCTTCAATTGAAATAAGGAAACGATTTCCAAAAACTCATTTTCACTTTTTGCACACCCGTATTAATTCATGTTCTTTAATTTGGTCAATCTAAAGGCTATAAATGAGGAGTGATGCACAGGTGAAGAAAAGGGGGTGTGCAAATCATTTCCTTTCAAATATAATACTCGATACATAATCGACGGACATGTTACTAACGTTTAGGGTTCCGGTATCTCAATGCCGCTAAGGGCTGCGTTTATTACACACCTTGCCCGATTGGGCTATTTCGAGTTAGGACAGTACAAGTTGTATAAAGCATGGCGCTATTTAACAAGCGCCATCTATCATTCACGTCATCTGCAGCCATGCTGAGAGCCCCGCCTGGGTTCTTCAGCGCGCCTCGTACTGAACAACTGCAGAAACAACCATTAGTCATTATCAATCTTTGAACATCGTCATAGAGAGAGATAGATGATTAACCTAACCAGCAAAGACAAAAATACACGCACACAAGACCAGCAGAAGGAACTTTGGACTGACAAGTCATACACCATCGTAAGGCTAGCAAGAACACATTCAACAATGCTACATGCTTCCAATTCCAATCCAAAAAGTTTTGGAAATACATACTTACATGTATGTAATAGAGTTATGCACGTTTCAGAATTATAGGATTCAGAATATTAAATACGTTCCAATTCCTATCCAATTTTTTCATATTTTTCTGGATTTCGGTTTCGGAATTGAAAAAAGTGGTTGCAACTGTTTACCAAAATTTGGTCTGGCATTCTCACTGATTAAGTTCAGTGATTGAGTCAAAAAGTAGTATTGGTGCATCTTGGTGTAGGCTAATCACAATCTGTTAAGTGCACATTAAACTAAATCCTCAGAGCCATAACCCAAAAAACTAATCGAAAGCTTATTTCACTCCGGTCAACATCACCATTTGGCATCAATATAACTATTTCCTACAGTGCCGGTGCCGCCTATCCCTCTACTTACAAGTAATTTCTGTTGCTATGGTGTAATAAGTCTTTTGGTTAGTACTACAAAGATAACAGCTACTAATTAGTAAAGATGAAGAACGCATTTCTACATCCTATACTAAAAGCTTGGCAACCGAACGAACAAAGAGTGGACCCCAATTTTAAGTTCTAATAAGCACCTACTGAAATCCTATGAACTGAGAACATAACAAAAGGATAGGACATACAGACCCCATTGACCCCTTCTTAAGGATGGTAAGGATTCAGTTCAGCTATAAAACTTGACTTATGGATTTGCTCAACTGCCAAACATTCCGTCACATAATCTTAATCGATACAAACTAAATAATGACAGTGCAAAAACTCAAATTCCCTACCCAAAACCAAGTCCTCCTTTTGCAGCAAACTAGTCACACTCCGAATTCCGAAATTCGAAAATTCGACTCCTTCTACCGTATCCACAATTGTCAATCCGAAATCGATTACTGTGAATTGTTTATCCAGTCCCCAAATAAATTCAAAGAATCACCTTTTGGAGAAATCAATGAATATTGCAAATATTAAAGCACATACGGATATAGGGACTTACTGCGGCGAGTACGCTTCTTGTATAAGATACGGTAACCGCACTCACGGCACTGAATCACGTCATTGGACTTCAACTGAACCTCCATCCCACAATCTACAACAACATAAAAACCCTAATTTAATCTTAAAAATTGAAATTCTTCTGTATGTAATTCCTCAAGAAGAAGAAGAACGAAGAAATGGTAAACCAATACCTCCACAGATGTAGTAGACGGCCTCTGGCGGCGGCGGATCCATGGGAGCAGCTCGAATAGGGCTGTTAATTTCAAGGGTTTTGCTGTTTCAATTTCAGGGAAATAATCGCGGGGATTCGTCCTTTTAAATATATATCCTTTTATTTGGAAGTGTAAACGGTGGGCTGAAATGGATTCGGGTTTTAAGCCCAAGGTCCATGGGTTCCCCATAGGTTTCAACAATAACCCCCATTTTCTAGTCAAACCCTAGTAATACTCCACATTTGAATAGAAAATAAGATACTAAATAAATTATTAACGTAACATCATTTCAGAGAACTTAGATTTGATATGCATCGTAATATGTGTTTTTTGAACTTGAACCTTCTCTATTGAATACTCATCGGATTTACTAAATGAAGCAGTGAATTTTAATATCTTGAACTAATCATTCTTAGTAGTAATTTGAGCAATAAGTATCACACATATCACATCTTGACACACTTCAAATTCATATGGTTGTGTTCATTTAGGTCATGAACAAATCTTGATTTCATGAGACCTTTGGAGAAGTGTAGCCACAACAATTCTCAAAAATACAACCCCACATCATTCTCATACAGGAATATCCTGTTATATTTATCTTAACTAGAAGATATTAACATCAATAAGAATAATTATTCACCCTCATACTGTTTTTCTCCAACTTGTTTGCCTATTGAACCTAGACCATAGGATCTTCAATTAGCTATGTTAGGTTTCCCTCAGGTGTTAACTCATTGAATTGGCTTCAAACCCATTCCCTTTGATGTAAATGTTACTTGATCCTCTGGTAGGCGTTTAGTCCAATGATTGGCAATGTTCTCTTTTGATTTAATATAGTAAATTAATGGAAATAGTTTCATTTCTTATTAACTATCTAATAGTTATGTGTCATCGCCTTATATGTCTCAACTTGTTATTGTATTCAACATTTTTGGCTCGACCTTGTGCAGCCATGCTGTCACAATGTATTCATACTTCAATTACAGGCTTAGGCCATATTTCATCTTCCAAAAAATGTTTAAGTCATTATGCTTCGTTTGCAGTTGTATCTAAGGTTATAAATTCAAATTGCATTGTTGAAGATGTTATAAATGTTTGCTTAGATGATTTCCATGACGCAGCTCCTCCACCAAGCACTACTACAATATATGCTATCACCGGCGGAGGAAAAACGACGAGAAATCAAATTTCTGTCGAAAATTTGGCACAAATCCGACATTAAACAATGTAATGTCGCATTTCAATAGCGACACTATTGCTAGCGTCGCGAAAGGGCTTCAGTGTCGCTTTTTGAGCTTAATCCACCACTAAACAGCGTCGGTTTAAAGCGACACTAACCTTAACGTCGGTTTAAAGCGACGCTACTTACACGTGCATCAACTATTTAATTATAAAGTATGCAATCTACTGTTGCTTTTAATCGACATTATATTAAAATTAAATAAATAAAATATCCCTTAAACCGACGTTAGATAACAATTAAATAAATAAAATATAAAATCTAGTAACGGTCTTAACCGACACTATATTTGTTAATAATAATAAAAATATATGGACAACTGCATGCAATTTCAATTAATTCCAACTAAAATAAATTATATAATCAAAATAATAAATTTTAAGATCTAAATAAACATTAATGAAAATAAATAACAAAAACAATAGTGCCAAACTGTACATCTAACATTTCACATAAAATCCAAAAAGTCGTCCGTCGTAACAAACATTAAATCCGACATTACAAACATAACATAAAAAAACAAAAAGATAGAACAATTATAGTGTCATATTTAACCAACAAGAAAAAGAACCAATTAAACTACCCAATCGAATTTGCGCCTGAACGTCGTCCAGATCCTTCTGCTTGAGAACCTTCTCCTTGAGATCCTCCTCCTTGAGATCCTCCATCTGATCCAAAAATCCTCGACAAGTCCACATCAAATCCAACACCTGCAAGCATTCCAGAAAACCCCCCAGCTGGAACTTCAGGAAAAAATCCACTAGGAGCAGCCATCTCAGGTCGATATACTGGCACTTGATAAGGTGGCTGCTGCATGTATGGCATGGGCGGCTGCTGCATGTATGGCATGGGCTGCGCAGGCATCGGATGCACAGGATATGGAGGTTGCTGATTATGGCCAGCATACGGATATGCAGGGGGAGGCTGACTTTGGCCCGACTGTTGAGGAGGTTGACTCTGGCCTGATTGTTGGGTTCCCGGGCTATACGGTGGTTGTGGTTAAAATCTTTGAAAAAACCATGCAAACAACTGATTTTGCTTGTTCTCTAGGTTCGAAATCCATTTATTATTATTTTCGTCCCTCATTTTCAACTCATTATTTTGAGTCATCAGCAACGCCATTAAACTCTTAGATGATCTCCTGGAGGAAATTGATGTAGAAGATGAAGAAGATGCATAAGACACCATATCAGGAGTCACACTATGACCGTATCCTCTGACTCTATTATGCCTCTCAGGACCCATAGTATCAACATAAACTTGGGTCCTAAGATCTTCACTATCCTCCTGGCCCGACTCAATCAATGTTTGTAGATTGCTCTCCATTGTTGACTTGCATTACAATTTTTAAAAACAAAAATTCAATCGTAAAACAGAAAAATAAGCTATAGATAATAAATACTAATAAAATCAAATACTAACACGAAAAAATCTATTACCCCTGTACGCTCCGATGTTTCATCAATCCATGTTTTATCTTTTCGTGTATGACATTCACGAAAAAAGGTTACAGGATCTGCTTCTTTCCCATGCTTCTTCCGCTTTATCAAAAATAAAATTTCATACAAACAACTTAAGCAAACCTCATACTAAAAATAAATATAATTATTTAAAATTAATCATTTCTTCAAAATGTACAATCCATACATATTCTTCCCGCACTCTTGCAAAGGATTTTGTACCAGTGGTATGGTTCATTGATTTCAATCCCCGATTAATCTTATTTTTTTCAGCAACCTCCTGAAAAAAAAAACGAAAGAAAAAAAAAGATTATATTAGGCAACTTTAAAGTTATAACGAAATAAATCATGTAAGGTTTGCCTTTGTTTTGTCTCTATTCCAATATGCCAACAAATCATCCCACTGGGCAGGAATCACATCAGGAGGAGGCTCGCTGCGCACCTCTTCTGCTCTTTTTGTATAATACTTTTTTTTTAACTTATTTCTAAACTCTTTGTGCGCATGCTCCGCAATCTTAAGTGTCATATGACGGATCAAAGGCATTTTTACTATATCTGCATCTTCAAAAAAAATATTTCCCTACATACATAAAAACAAAAAACAAAAAAAATCACGCTAGTCAATTAGTATTACAATCATTGACTTATTCTTCTATTTTCAACTAAAAATAAAAACACCTATACCTTTATTCTATTCTAGAAAGCTTCCTTATCTTCTTCCGTAACCTTACGCCAATCTTTCTCCAACGGCAAATTTCTATAGTCCCTAACCTCCATTGCTACATGTTTTGAAAAAGCACTAGCATTATCACTTATGCATTTTCCGGACGAATCAAACGAACAAAGCTGTTTCGTCCATTTAGGAATTGAGGGTCCACGCCTCCGTTGAGATGTACCTTGTTAATACAAACACACAATTAAAAACCAGGAAACAAATGTATATTTTCAGTTTAGCAATAATAATAGTTCAAACACACACACAAAAAAATAAAAATAAAAACTGAGATTAATAACAATTCAAAAAAGAACCAGCATCACCCTCGTCCTCTTCCAAATGACGTTCTTCAGAATGTTGATCTTCACGAGAACTATCCATAGCAAAATTTAATGGAAGAAGAAGGAATATGGCTGAAATGGGGGAAAGAGTAGGCCAGAAATGGGGGATAGAGACGAGAGACAGAAGTGGAATCACGAAAGAGATAGGAAATAAAGAAGATTAAATATGGATAATTGCATAGCGTCGAAATATGAACACTTTGCGTCGGTTAAAACCGACACAAGGTCTGACTCGACCTAACATACTTTTGACAGAAAGCCTACACACGTAACCTGACATACTTTAGGCAGAAAGCCTGACATACTTTTCAGTGGAAGACCATTGCGTCGGTTAAAACCGAGGTTATGTGGCATAGTGTTGAAATAAGGACCCATTGCGTCGGTTAAAACCGACGTTAGTTTGCATAGCGTCGAAATAAGGACCCATTGTGTCGCTTAAAACCGACACTATGTCTGACTCAACCATCATTATAGCTTTTGACTGAAAGCCTGACAGTACCGTCTGACTCAACCATCATTATAGCTTGACATACTATGTCAGTACCGTCGAAATTAGGCCACATTGCGTCAGTTAAAACCGACGTTAGACTGACAGATTTTTATAACGTCGAAATAAGAACAAGTTTGTGTCGAAATAAGATAAAATTTGCGTCGAAATAAGAACAAATTTGTGTAGTGTCTCTGACAGAAAATCCATTGTAGCAGATAGTCTCGAAAGTGTATAATTTTGCATCGGTTAAAGCCAATATAAGCATAATTTGATATGATAATGATTGACAAAGTCTTCCAACCCATTCCCCCGTGCAAAGAAAGGGGGAAAATTCCCGCCCAACATAAAAAAAAAGTTTTAACTTACAAAAAAAAGAGAACAAGGATAAAAATAGAAACAAAAAAAATAAAAAAATTTAATCCAAAATTAAAAAGTAATCAGTTATGTTATCTCATATAATATTTTAATAAATAAATTTATTAAGTTGAATCAATTTTTTTTGCACTGTAATTGTTATTTTAATTTGTTTTTATTTTGATAATTTTTTGTTGTTATTTACTAGAATGGATTAGATGAACATAATTTGAGTTGTTTTGAGAAAATGGAATGAATAATATTTATAAGCATTTATGTTAAATTAACAATATTAAATATAACATAAACTTATAATATTTAGTAATATAAGTATATATTATGGATTAGATGAGCATTTCTCAAAAGTTTAACTTTGATAACATTTGGTTGTTATTTACTATAATGGATTAGATGACTTTGATAACATTTAATTTGTTGTTATTTTGATAACTTTGATAACATTTGGTTGTTATTTACTATAATGGATTAGATGAGCATTTCTCAAAAGTTTAACTTTGATAACATTTGGTTGTTATTTACTATAATGGATTAGATGACTTTGATAACATTTAATTTGTTGTTATTTTGATAACTTTGATAACATTTGGTTGTTATTTACTATAATGGATTAGATGAGCATTTCTCAAAAGTTTAAACCTTGCCAATGTAACTCAAAGCTTGCATTTTATTCTTTTTACAAAATCATCAATTTTCATTGATCATCATCCATTGTATTCATATAGGTTCAAGGAGTCTAGCTGTAAAAAATCATCAAAATCGGGCTTACAATAACCGTTAAATCGTCATTTTTAGTTGATAACCGTCGAAATTTTTTGTCCCGTTACTTTATCCCAGAATTTTTGTTTTTTGCGATTTTTTTCGTATACGATCTCGAATTATATACAAACATGTTTAACGGTTAGATCGTTGAAATTAGTTTCGTAGAATGCGTATCCCATCAAAACGATAGATTCACTAAGACTTAAGAGTTTATTCACACTTTCATTAAGTATAACGTAAGATTTTGTGGTATCCACTAGTATAAATATTTTAATTTGAAGATCGAATTCATTCATTGTATTCATATAGGTTCAAGGAGTGTAGCTGTAAAAAATCATCAAAATCGGACTTAAAATAACCGTTAAATCGTCATTTTTCGTTGATAACCGTCGAAATTTTTTGTCCCGTTACTTCATCCCAGAATGTTTGTTTTTTGCGATTTTTTTCGTATACGATCTCGAATTATATACAAACATGTTTGACGGTTGGATCGTTGAAATTAGTTTCGTAGAATGCGTATCCCATCAAAACGATAGATTCACTAAGACTTAAGAGTTTATTCACACTTTCATTAAGTATAACGTAAGATTTTGTGGTATCCACTAGTATAAATATTTTAATTTGAAGATCAAATTCATTCATTGTATTCATATAGGTTCAAGGAGTGTAGCTGTAAAAAATCATCAAAATCGGACTTAAAATAACCGTTAAATCGTCATTTTTCGTTGATAACCGTCGAAATTTTTTGTCCCGTTACTTCATCCCAGAATGTTTGTTTTTTGCGATTTTTTTCGTATACAATCTCGAATTATATACAAACATGTTTGACGGTTGGATCGTTGAAATTAGTTTCGTAGAATGCGTATCTCATCAAAACGATAGATTCACTAAGACTTAAGAGTTTATTCATACTTTCATTAAGTATAACTTAAGATTTTGTGGTATCCACTAGTATAAATATTTTAATTTGAAGATCGAATTCATTCATTGTATTCATATAGGTTCAAGGAGTGTAGCTGTAAATAATCATCAAAATCGGACTTAAAATAACCGTTAAATCGTCATTTTTCGTTGATAACCGTCGAAATTTTTTGTCCCGTTACTTCATCCCAGAATGTTTGTTTTTTGCAATTTTTTTCGTATACGATCTCGAATTATATACAAACATGTTTGACGGTTGGATCGTTGAAATTAGTTTCGTAGAATGCGTATCCCATCAAAACAATAGATTCACTAAGACTTAAGAGTTTATTCATACTTTCATTAAGTATAACTTAAGATTTTGTGGTATCCACTAGTATAAATATTTTAATTTGAAGATCGAATTCATTCATTGTATTCATATAGGTTCAAGGAGTGTAGCTGTAAAAACTCATCAAAATCGGGCTTAAAATAACCGTTAAATCGTCATTTTTCGTTGATAACCGTCGAAATTTTTTGTCCCGTTACTTCATCCCAGAATGTTTGTTTTTTGCGATTTTTTTCGTATACGATCTTGAATTATATACAAACATGTTTGACGGTTGGATCGTTGAAATTAGTTTCGTAGAATTCGTATAATAATTATATATATAATTATTATAGTTTTTAGGGGTATAAAACTGTTAAATTAATATATAATTATATATAATTATTATAGTTTTTAAATTAATATATATAATTATATATAATAATAATTATTATAGTCTTTAGGGGTGTAAAACTGTTAAATTAATATATAATTATTATAGTTTTTAAGTTAATATATATAATTATTATAGTTTTTAAAACTGTTAAATTATATATAATTATTACATATGATTCACAACATTGCGTCGAAATATGATAATAATGCGTCGCATAAAACCGACGTAAGGTTAACATTGCGTCGGAATAGGGTAAGGTTGCGTCGGTTAAAACCGACGTAAGGTTAACATTGCGTCGGAATAGGCTAAGGTTGCGTCGGTTAAAACCGACGCTAAGTCTGACACACATGACATATGCCGTCGGTTAAAAGCGACAGGAAACAAGAAAAAAAAAAAAAACAGAAATATAATTTTATGATAGGATATCATAGCATATAAAATGAAACAAAGTCTAATTAATACAAAAAATAATTAATATATTTATTCCCTGTCATCATCTGTTAACTCATCGTCGGTATTGGCATGATTAACGAACCCAGTAGGCAACGCTAATGATTCAAGAAAGGGAGTCTCTTCCACGCCAACCCTTGTATGGAAATTTTCATTATCAAGAATTCGATCATCCAAGTTCGGCATGGCATAATCATCAATAGCATCACTATCCTCTAACACGTCAAATAAATCTCTTGGCTGAGTTCGAACAACTACGTGCCAATCTTTTTCAATCGTGTCCTCCACGTAAAATGCCTGTAATGCTTGTGATGCTAGTATGAAAGGATCCTCTTTAAATCCCAATTGATTGAAATTCACCATAGTAAATCCATATTGATCAGTTTTCATTCCTCGTGGACTTTCACTATTAACCCATTCGCACTTAAATAACATCACAGCTCGACCCCTATCTCCTGCTTCAGTAGGACCACAATATTTGACCTCGAACATATCTACAACTCTGCCATAACAATTCACTTGCCCAATTGCTCCAGGAACATTTGCAGGTACAAAGACACCACAATTTTGATTCTTATGCTTATCATCCACAGATTTTATACGAAATCTAAATCCATGAACAATGTGACTTTTGTATCTACTCACAACCCTACTAGGATAATTAGCTAGCCAATGCAAGTCTTGAGATATCAATGTGTCATTAGCATCATATCTTGAATTCATCTGTAATAAGTATGAAGATAAAAATTGACAGAATAACTATAAACATGTTATAATTAAAATGCAAAACAATAAATAAATAATATGATTGTTATATCAACTCACATGTTGCTTGAACCATTCTGGAAATTCTTTCTTGCTTAGCTCCTTAATTTGTCGCATAGTTAACCTTTCTCGACGATGTTTAGTTTTCAAGAATTCTTCATGTTGCCTACACAATTATGTCCAATTTAGATAATTACTTTTTCAAAGTGAAGAAAACCAATAAAACATTAAGACGTATGATTAAACGTTCTTACCTTCTAAATGGGCTAACCTCATCACAATTATTTAGAATGTATCTATGGCACTGATCAAGAACATTTAGATCGAGCTCCACATTTTCTCCTGAACCCATATAACATCCTTTCGAGTCAAAAATTGATAACCCACCAGATACTCCACGTCCAATACCATCTTCATTTCGGCCTCTACGGGTACGACGAGACTCAACGTCTCTAAGATACATGGAACAAAATGACAAGCACTCAAATATGCTTCAGCAATGAAACCTTCAGGACGACCCTTATTACGAACATAGCGCTTAAGTGTTTGCAAATACCTACAATTATAAAACGAAATACAAATTATTATAATTATTAATTAAAGTTATGACTACAATTGTAAAAAAATTATAAAAATTTATTCATTACCGTTCAATTAGATACATCCATCTATATTGAACAGGCCATGCAAGAGCTGCTTCATCTGCCAAGTGAACTGGGAGGTGCACCATTATATCAAAAAATGCAGGAGGGAATATTTTCTCAAGTTGACATAATGTCAGGGCAATTCTTGAATTCAGTTGCTTAAATCCTTCCTCAGACTCCTTCTTACTACATAACTGTCTGAAAATTGCACTCAACTCTAATAAAACCATAGTAACAGCTTTAGGCAAAACCAGGCGTATTGCAAGCGGGAGTAACTGCTACATTAAAACATGGCAATCATGACTTTTCAACCCATGTATTTTTCGTTCATTCACGTGCACACATCGCGACAGATTTGATGAATATCCATCTGGGACCCGAATAGTAGACAATACTTTACAAAACGCAGTTTTTTCTTCTCTTTTCAATTTGAACAATGCTGGAGGTCGAAATGTTCTATTTCCTTCTCTACGTGGGTGTTGACTATGTCTTATGTTCAAGAATTCAAGATCTGCATGTGCCGCTAATCCATCTTTAGACTTTTCTATATCTAGCAATGTTCCCACCACACTGTCACATATATTCTTCTCGATATGCATAACATCAAGATTGTGTCTAATCAATAGATGCCTCCAATAAGGTAGTTCATAAAAAATTGATTTCTTCTTCCACTGACTGTTACTACTTGTACTGCTCGAAGCTCTTCTTCTGCGTTGCCCAACTGAAGCATCCTTGTTGGTTTTCCAAAAGTAAATCTCAATGTAGAAAGTTCTTCGAGACATTGTAAACCAGTCCACTGCCTTGGTGCACTACGATGCTCTCGACAACCATTAAAAGTGATGGTTTGCCTTCGAAACCTATGATTATCTTCAAGAAAACGTCGATGCCCCATATAACAAATCTTGCGACTCGCTGGCAAGTAAATAGATTCTTTATCATGCATGCAATGTGGACAAGCTTTATAGCCATGTGTACTCGATCCTGACAACATTCCATAAGCCGGAAAATCACTTATAGTCCATAACACGGCAGCCTTCATCGTAAAACTTTGGTTGGAATACGCATCATAAGTGGGAATGCCCACCTCCCACAACTCATTCAACTCGTCAATCAATGGACGCATGTATACATCAATCTCTTTACCAGGACTGCGCGGTCCTGGTATTAACAAAGACAATAACAAATTTGGTTGCTTCATGCACATCCAAGGTGGCAAATTATAAACAGAAAGCACCACAGGCCATGTGTTATGATCATTCCTCATTTTCCCAAAAGGATTAAATCCATCACTGGCTAACCCTAATCGGACATTTCGAATTTTTGACGCAAAATCCGGATATAAATTATCCAAATGCTTCCATGCGGGAGAATCTGAAGGATGTCTCATAAACTCATCCTTAGGACATTCAGTTGCATGCCATCTCATATGTTCAGCCATATGCTTCGACATAAAAAATTGTTGCAATCGTGGTTTTAAAGGAAAATACCACATAACCTTAGTTGCGACCTTTTTCCTCGAGCTATCCTCTGCATTGGTAATTTTATATCTTGATTACTACAAACTGAGCACACGGTCAAATCTGACGTATCTTTCCAATAGATCATGCAATCATTGGGACATGCATCAATTTTCACATACGACAGCCCCAAGTCATTTATAAGTTTTTTTGCCTTATAACAGGATTCAGGCAAACAATCCCCTTCAGGCAACATTCTTTTAATTAACTCCAGTAAAGTGGTGAAGATCTCGTCAGGCATTCCCGCTAAACACTTGATCTGATACAATCTTACAACTGCTTCCAATTTCTTAAACTCCTTACAACCTGGCCACAAATCTTGATCTGCCTCTTCAAGCAACTTAAAAAAAGTCTGCACCTCTTCTGGACGCCCTTCCCCAATAGGGGGTTGTGACAACCCGTTCCAAATTTTACATTTTTAATTTATTTTAAAAGCGTGAGTTTACGAAATTGCCCTAGAGGCAAGGACTTTGACTTCTGTTGACCATTGACTTGAGAGATGTGGGACTTATTCTTTTAGCATATCCTCGTAGTACTCATTGGTACGAACGTATAGGCGAAAACCGTTTGCGAGTTCGAATTATAACGGTATACTTATGGACGTTTGAAATTGGTTATTTAAATATTTGAATTCCCACCTTGTGGGATTAGTTGACCAATTAAATTAAAGGGACAAGGAACCAATTAGAACATTTAAAGTGAAGCTTGCAGCCAATCAGAAAGGAAGAAGAAAAGAAAAGAAAAAAAAAAAAAAAGGGAAAAAGGCTTCCCGTGCACCCATACCCGCACCACTGCGAGGCCATCTTCCAAGGCCGATTCCGGCCAACTCCGGTGGACTTTTTCGATGCCACCACCACCATTTTGAAGCTCTCATTCCCCTCTACAAAACCCACCCAAGAACCACCTTGATTAACCATGGTATGAGGCGGTTTGAGGCCACGAAAGTTGACGAAAATCAATGGTGCTCCGGCCACCCTTTTCGATTTTCCGGCAAATCGGCAAAGCAATGGCCGATGCCACCACTTGGGCTTTGTAGCCCATCATCCTAGGAGCAAAACCCAACCAACCTTGACCCCGTTGGACCACTGTAGACGACGAATCGACGTCGGGAAGTTTTAGGCACCTGCCGGCTTCGTGGGCAAAATTGACCATCTTCCGTCCACTTTTGGACTTCGTGGCAGGTATGAAAGTTGCTCCACTCACTGAGATCTTCATTTCTGTGAAGTTTGAGATTTTTTGAAAATAGTTGGATTTTCCGGCGAGTCGGGGCGGCCGACCGCCACCCGCGGCGGCGCGTGCGGCGGCGCGTGGCCAGTGGGCCGCCAATTCTATTTTTAGGCTATGTCGAATGTTTTGAATTCAGTTTTGTCATTTGAATGACGTAGGTTGATCGTTGGAACCTAAATTCGTTATGATACGTTACTTGATAAAAATGTGAATCGATGATCCGACCGTTGGATCGTCACCAAAATTGGATATATTATAATACGTAATATTTAAAGATCATAGGAATTTACGGATCGGGAATCCGACTTACGGATCTTCCTGAATTGGATTTGTAAGTTAGTAAAATAAATGTTCACGGCCACTTGTTTTAGACAATTGGCGGAGATCTGACCGTTGGATCGTAATGAAATTTTAATATGTTATTCTAGAAACATATTTTGGATCGTTGGAAGTTGCAGATTGGAAATCTGATATGCGGATCTTCCGGGTCAGGTTATACAGGGTTGTAAACCCTACCGTCGATCTTTGATCGACGATTGACTTGTGGTTAATGGGTCTCAAACTATTTTAGAATGTCGTTGAAGTTGTGTTTTATGTGAATTAGATATTCTACGGATAAGAGTTCTGAGATGTGATTTGATAATTGGTTACAGGGACCAATCATTCAGGACGTCTCGATACGTGCGCTAGAGAATCATAGCGTGGACTCCAGGTAAGTGCATCTTTTCCTTTTTTATCGTACATATTATTGAGAGTTCTATCGACACCTTTAAATTGATTAGGCATATTACTTTCATATATAATTATTGTGAATGCTTGAAGTACTATGTGAACTACGAATGGCTTGATCCCTGTTTAGGGTACGTAGGCAGTCTAACGAGACGTTAGATGCAGCCATAAAATATTTGAGACAAAAGCCTTGCTTGGGAAATTGAGTAATGCGAAGGAAATTGGTTAAGGCAAGTTTTTAGTTTTACGAATTAGTTAGTTAAATTAGTGTTAATTGGGTTGTCATGAATAATTATCCTTGAAAATAAGTAGTTTGGGAGTAGAGCGTTATTGATTGTACACTTCACCTTATATTGTTTATAATTGAAAATGCTACGGCATGGTTGAGTAGTAGATTGCATCATGGTATATCCATATGTATATTACTTGCATATAATTATTGAGAATGCTTTCAAGTGCAAAGGTGAACGCAGGACACCCAGGTAAGTTCAGGTGAGTTATGATATTGGTTGAATCGATTGCGTTATAGCATGACTATAGTTATGTGTTAGGTAACTTCGATATTGTCGTACAGGTCACTATAGGTGACTCCGACTTACATGCTAGCCAGTATTGACGAGATATGGATAAGTCGTATAGGTCACTATAGGTGACTCCGACTTACATGCTAGCCAGTATTGACGAGATATGGATAAGTCGTATAGGTCACTATAGGTGACTCCGACTTAAATGCTAGCCAGTATTGACGAGATGTGGATAAGTCGTACAGGTCACTATAGGTGACTCCGACTTACATGCTAGCCAGGATTGACGAGATCTGGATAAGTCGTACAGGTTACTATAGGTGACTCCGACTTATATGCTAGCCAGGATTGACGAGATGTGGATAAGTCGTACAGGTCATTATAGGTGACTCCGACTTATATGCTAGTCAGGATTGACGAGATGTGGATAAGTCGTACATGTCACTATAGGTGACTCCGACTTATATACTAGCCATGATTGACGAGATACGGTTAAGTTGTACATGTCATTTTAGATGACTCTGACTGATATATCACTTTGTATTGATTTAGTACATTTGGCCTACTTATTAATGTATGGTGGATTTGATGGCAAACCGTGGTTTTGGTCATTTCCGAGTATGGTTTGGATATATGTATATATGTTGTACTGTCTTACGGAAAACGATACGGGTTTTACATTTAGGGGCATTACTTTTAGAGAGGTAGTAACTTTGGGAAGCTTGGTTTTATTGCTTACTCACACCTTCTGTTTGGTGCCCTCCAGGTTTTAGCTGCTGAGTTTGTATCGACAAAAATCTGTGGCGAATCTTAGTATTGATGGATATTTTTGAGGGTATGATTCTTACTCACATTACTGTACCTTACTTATGCTCTGACATCGCGCGTGAAATGGGTTCGCTCCCACTCGTAGCGCACTCTGGTATTTAGACACTTTTGGAATCGAATTCATTCACTTTTTATACACTATCACATTTTATGGCTTCGTCACCTTCCAGGTGTCGGCCAACACAGCTCGATTTAGGGTCCAAGTGGACTTTCTGGGTCGGGGTGTGTCAGGGTTCAGTAGATGGCCCAACACCTTCTTCTGTTAATGGTTGGACAAATACATCATTAAGAAAATCATGCATGCCAATCACCTCATCTCCTGTTTCTTCTTCTCCAATTCCCACATTTTGCTCTCCAATGTTTTGCTCGCCATGATGTCGCCAACAAGCGTTTTTATAATCTTTATCCATATCATACAATATGAGATGTTCAACAATGGTGTTCCTAACAAAAGTATATCGATTACAACATCTTTTGCAAGGACATCTAAACTTATCAGGACCAACACCATTTGCAACTGCTTGATCCAAAAACAAATTAATTCCAGTTGTATACGCTTCAAAATTTCAGGGTATTGTCAACCAACTCTTGTCCATATTTTACCACTTTACGAAGGTAAAATATTACGTTGACACTAAGATGCCTACAATCTTTCAATCCCTATCATGTAGGCATAACTATCAAAATTTTCAATTTCTATCTTTCACCCCTCGAACTCTATCACGATTGCAATATTTTAATTTTCAACACCTATTATAGTAAAAACAAATTAAAATAACAACAAAAAGTTATCAAAATTATGCTCATCTAATCCATTCTAATAAATAACAACCAAAAGTTATCAAACTTATCAAAATAACAACAAATTCAAATAACAATTAGAGTGCAAAAAAATTAATTAATATATTCTTATATTCCTAAATATTATAAGTTTAGGTTATATTCTTATATGAAAGGTTATATTCTTATATGAAAGGATATTCTTATATTATAAGTTTAGGTTATATTCTTATGAAAGGTTATATTCTTATATTCTTATATTCCTAAAAAAAAAAAAAAACATAATATATTCTTATATTACTCAATATTATAAGTTTATGTTATATTTAATATTGTTAATTTAACATAAATGCTTATAAATATTATTCATTCCATTTTCTCATAACAATTCAAATTATGTTCATCTAATCCATTCTAGTAAATAACAACAAAAAATTATCAAAATAACAACAAATTAAAATAACAATTAGAGTGCAAAAAAAAAAAAAAACATAATATATTCTTATATTACTCAATATTATAAGTTTATGTTATATTTAATATTGTTAATTTAACATAAATGCTTATAAATATTATTCATTCCATTTTCTCATAACAATTCAAATTATGTTTATCTAATCCATTCTAGTAAATAACAACAAAAAATTATCAAAATAACAACAAATTAAAATAACAATTAGAGTGCAAAAAAAAAAATTAACATAATATATTCTTATATTACTCAATTTTATAAGTTTATGTTATATTTAATATTGTTAATTTAACATAAATGCTTATAAATATTATTCATTCCATTTTCTCATAACAATTCAAATTATGTTCATCTAATCCAT